CGCCCGCGGCGTCTGCCGCGGCGCGGTGGAGTGCGCCAACCTAACCACGCGCCAGGCGGGCAACGACCCCACGGCGGCTGAGTCTCTCAAGACGGCGCCCGTCCACTCCATCTCCTTGCAGTTCGGCCTCCAACTCATGGAGGCGGCGGCCGCCGGCGAAGCTTGGCCGGCTGAGCCGCGACAGCTGCGGACAGACACGCGGCCGGCGGCTCAGCGAGGGCGCGTGGTCTCCTGCCCGTTCTGGACCTTCTACGGGGCACGGGGGCGAGCAGCCGAAGTCCGCGAGCTCTGCGCCTTTGAGTTCGCGCGCCACTTCCTCTTCAAGCTGGCCAAGCGGCCCTTTGTGCTGGAGCAGCTGAGCGAGCGGCGCGACGAAGGTTTTCACGCCTCGCTGACGCGGGCTGGGGCGGCGAAGCTTGGCGCAAACCCCAAGGCCGTCTTGCTGCCCGGGGCGGACTACGAGATCCACGAGGAAGGCGGGGAAGACTGGCTGCCGCTAGGGCATGGAGCGCTCGCCCAGCAGTTCAGACACGATTGGATCCTTGCGCGCCGGGGCAGGCGAGGGGGCGGGGGGGAGGAGGAGGCGCGCGGCGCTCGCGGCGCGGGGGCTGCGAGAATAGAGAGGCAAGGGGGGACGGGCGGCCGCGGTTCCCTTGCGAGGCCCCTCGTCCCGGTTGTCCAGGGTGCGCTTGGCGGTCGCTCGGAGGAGGACTACGCGAAGCGGGTGCTGCTGCTCTTCTGCCCTTGGACGAGCCACCCCAACGACGCCTCGGCCGCCGCGCCCTTCCTTGCCGACCTCTGCAAGTTCGGCAAGTCAGACTGGCGCCGCGCCCTCCGACGGCGGCTGATTCTCCGAGGCTTCCCGACCGAAGAGGTCAAGCAGTTCGCGCTGAACTTTTGCTTCGTCTACTGCCTGCCGCGGGAGCTCCGGCCGGAACAGCACTTGCAAGAGAACAGCGACAACGAGGTCCAGGACGAGGGCGTGCGCTTCGACAAGGCGGACTTGGAGGCGGCTCGGGCCACGCACGTCCGCGGCGCGGGCAAGCTGGGCTCCGAAAACTTTGACGAACAAGACAGCGAGCAGGAGGACGAGGCCGCGGCGACGCGGCTGTGCGTCATGACCAAGCAGATGTTCGACTTGTCCCGGGCCGCGTGGAGGAAGAGCGGGGCCGACGCCTTGCCCGGCCAAGGCGCGCCCGCCGGGCCGCCCCGAGCGCAAAGCGAGCAGCTTGACCACAACGCGCTTGCCTGGGCCGCCCGCGCCTCGCGGAGCAAGAGCAGACTTCCGTCCTTTCCGGGCGTCGGCCAAGCCGGGCGGGATCCCGAGGCGCAGCCGCTCGGCCCGCCCGTGACAGCAGACGCGCTGTTGGACTGGCTGGGCAGCGAGCGCGTCCGGAGCGGTCTGAACTCCAAGCAATGGGAGATGCTGCGGGTGGTGGTGGAAAGGGTTCTGGTCGAGCTGGAGCTGGTGCCGCCGGACCACGAGATCGCTCTGCGGCGAGCCGAGCCGCTGGCCTGGCTGCTGCACGGCCCGCCGGGCACTGGGAAGTCCCACGTCCTGAAGTTCCTGCGGGAGTTGTTCGAGGAGCAGCTTGGCTACGCGCAGGGGATCGACTTCGAGGCGCGCGGGCGAAATTGCGGTCGGCTCTCTTGCCCTGCTGGGGTCGCCGCCCCGCAGGTTGCGGCGTTCCAGGCCGTCAACGCGGCCGACATTCGCGGCCGGCCCCTCCACAACGCCTGCGGCCTTGGCGTGGACGCGGCCGCGCTGGACCGCGCCGTGGGCCAGGAGGCGGCGAAGAGAATGAGCTACTGGAGATGGCTCGTCGTCGACGAGGTCAGCATGGTCAACGCGCGGCTGCTGGCGCAGGCGTGCGGGGGGGGAGGCCGGTCTCGCTTGCGCCCCGCCCTTCTGTTTGCGCGATCGACAGGTCGAGCAGCGGCTGCGGGCGGTCGTCCCGTCGGCCAGCCAGTGGAAGCGCAACGCGGCCGGGGATTCGCGGGCCTTCGCGGGCGTCAACGTGCTGCTGCTCGGCGACTTCTACCAGCTGCCGCCGCCGAGCGGCGGCTACCTTGCGGACGTGCCCAGCAGCCGGCGGCCGCCGCGGCTGAGCGCGGCCGCCGACGCCGAGCCGGACCTCCTGGCGGACTACGGCAGAGACCTAGTGTGGGGCGGCGCCCTGCAGGGTGTGACGGAACTGGAGGAGCGCGAGCCCTGCAAGGACGCCTGGTGGAACGAGGTTGTGGACGAGCTGCGGCGCGGCGAGCTGTCGGAGCAGAACTGGCGCTACCTCCACGGCAAGCCCGTTGAAGGCTGTCGACTGACCGCGGCAGAGCGCGAGTCCCGGCGCCGGGTCGTCGACGGGCCCGGCGACCCGCGCTTGAGCCAAGAGAAGTTCAGATGGGCGGCGGCCGCGCGGAAGACTACTGGTCCGTGGCTCTGGACGCCCCCTCCGCCGAGGTCTTGCAAACGCAGGCTCAAGGGGTCGGGAGAGATCGCGGGGCTGGGGGGGGTAGGGGGGCAAGCCGCCTCCGCCTTTTGTCGGCCGAGCAGGAGTGCGACAAAGCCGCGCGGATCCGGTGGCTCCAGTATCATGACCGGGACACCGAGAACCTCTCCGGCATGCTGCCCTTGGCGGTCGGGCTGCGCGTGGTCTTGGCCGACCACCTCGATCGCTCCGAGGACAAGCTCCTCCTCCGAGGTAGCGCCGGGCGCGTCCACTCCTGGGTCTGGGAGGAGAACGACCTGCGGCCGACTTGCGTCTATGTGAAGTTTGACGGGGCGACCTGGCAGCTCGACGGGGCGCCGGAGCGGACCGACGTGACCTTCGGGACCGTGGCTGCAAGCAGGGTCCGCTCCAGGGAGGACGTCTTGATCTTGAGGCGCGCGCGGGAAAAAGGGAAGGGGGGCGCGGGGGAAAGCAAAGCGGCACGTTTGCGGCAGGCCCTTCGAGCGCTGGCTCTACACCCGCGGCGCGCCGGAGGGCCCGGCGCTCCTGCTGAAACAACTGCGGGGGGAGGAGGTGGACTGGGAAGCCTTCAGGGAGGCAAAGGCGCCCTCTGCGGCCTGCGAGAAATGCAAAGATGTGAAGACGCTGGACTACTTCTCCGACCGCCAGTGGGAGCGAGTCCGAGCCAACCGTTCGGCCATTTGCCTTGCCTGCGGCAAGCAAGGGCGGCCAGAAAACGCTGAAGCGGAAGCTGCCGTCTGGCCTGACGCGCTTGGACTGCCGCGGGTGTAAATTCCGGAAGCTGGAGGACGCCTTCCCCCGGGCGCAGCTTCAGCAGGACGATTCTGAGGCGAAGCGGCGCTGTCTCAAGTGTTTGAAGAAAGTTGACATTTTGGAGCGCTCCGTCTGCGAAAGCACGAAGCAGATCTCCGAATTCAGCAGCGCGATGGCGACCATGCCGTGGGCGGCGGTTTGCGCTGATTGCGCGGCCGACGTCAGAAGGCAGCCTAAGTGGGGCCGCGCCGGTTGGTTCACTTGCCGGACTTGCGACTTATTCTTTCCGGGAGCCGGCGCTGCGGAGCACGACGTCCTCCCCGCCGCTGTTTGAATTGCGCTTCGCGCGGCTCTTGGGCTAAGGGCAAGAGCACATGCCGCAAATGCGGTGGCGCGTGAGCGAGCCATGCGGGCAAGGGAGCGACAAGCGCCAAAGGCTTTGCCCAAAGTGCAGACCGAAAGCAAGTCGCGCGAAGCGCGCGTGATAAGTGATCGCGGCCGCTCGGGGCAAAAAGCTAGCTCCAGGTGCCCGGGGGGAGAGGGCGAGCGGGGAGAAGGGAGAGCGTGACGGAGAAGGTCTGAGCGATTTTTCGTGGGGCCTTGAGCCGCGGTCCTGGCTCGACGCGCGCGGCTCAAGGGGGCTCCAGGGACGCTCTCGCTCTCTTCCGCGCCCGAACTACTCAGGACTGGGAGCCGCGAGCTGCGAGCTTGCTCGCGTTCGCCTTTCCCGCTCGTGGCGCAAATCCTAAAACTTGAAAATCGAAATCCTTAGCCCCCGAAATCCAAAACCCTGAGCGCGAAACCAAAAAAAACCCGAGCCCCAAATCCTCGAAGTTCAGGGTTTAGGGTTCGCGGGGCTCGGCGTTTGGGATTTCGGGCGCCCGGGGTTTAGGGCTTAGGATTTTTGAGGTTTGGGGCGCGGGGCTCAGGATAGACCATTTTATCGCCCCCAATGGCCGTTTTATCGCCCCCAATGGCCGTTTTATCAAGCAAAGGCAGCCCGTAGACCATTTTATCGCCCGTAGACCATTCTATCGCCGTTTTATCAAGCCAAGGCAAGCCCGTAAACCATTTTATCACGCCCGTAGACCATTTTAGCGCCCCCAATGGCCGTTTTATCAAGCCAAGGCAGCCCGTAGACCATTTTATCGCCCGTAGACCATTTTATCTAAAAGGGACCAGGGCGCACCCCCCCTATAGAGGAAAGTGGTTTGCTCCTTTACATCTCCGTGAGTCAAATTGAATTGTTCTTGGGCGCCAAGCTGTGTTGGCGAACCCTAAACCCTAAACCCTAAACCCTAAACAAAGCGAGGAGCAGGAGCTGCGGTAGCCAGCGACGAGCGCTACCGAGGACGCCTTCGGCGCCGAGGGGCGGCCGAGCGAGCCACCGCGAGGTGTGCGAGGCCGCGGGCCTCAACGCGCGGTGAGCCGCGGCCCGGGCGTGGTGCCCGAACGGCAGCCCGCCACCGACAGGTGGCCGCTAAACTCAATTACCCTAAACCCTGTGCCAAACAAGGCCCGGAATGTCTCCATCCTCCTTTACATTGGCATGATAAAACGGCCATCGGCCTTGATAAAACGGCCATCGGCATTGATATTGAAGCCAGCCTTGATAAAATGGCCATCGGGGCTGGCCTGGCCAGCTTGTGCCCCGGCAGGACCTGTTTGCCCCGGGAAGCCTATTTCTGTCCTGGGAGGCCGACAAGACTTTCAAAGATTATCCTTGCTAAACATGGCCACTGGCCAAGCCACTTGTGGCTGAGGTTTCCTTTCGTTTCTTCTCGAAATCTCAAATTTGTGCATGGCCCGGCGGTTGATAAATTCTTTACACGGGAAATGGTAGAATGCGCAATCCGTGCTCCAAATCCAGAGATCTGGCCGCACCTGCATACTTAGTCTTTGAGACAAGCATATGACTACTGGCAGGATCAACCAGGTTTCCTTTTGTTTCTTTTCGAAATTTCAAGTCTGCGGGTGGCTCGGCTGAATTTCTTAGTGTTTTGAGACTGCCGGCGGTTGATAAATTCTTTACACGGGAAATGGTAAAATGGGCAATCCGTGCTCCAAATCCAGAGATCTGGCCACGCCTGCATTACTTAGTCTTTGAGACAAGCATATGACTACTGGCAGGATCAACCAGGTTTCCTTTTGTTTCTTTTCGAAATTTCAAGTCTGCGGATGGCTCGGCCGTTGATAAATTCTTTACACGGGAAATGGTAAAATTTGCCATCCGTGCTCCAAATCCAAAGATGTGGCCACGGCTGAATTTCTTAGTGTTTTGAGACTGACATGATAAAACGGCCATCGGCCTTGATAAAACGGCCATTGGTCTTGATAAAACGGCCATTGGCTCTGATAGAGGGCTTGCCTTGATAAAATGGCCATCGGGGGAGCAATGGCAGCTGGCCAAGCCATTTGTGGCTAGAGAAAACGCTTGTGCGGGAGCTCGCCTTCATAGAGCAGTTGTTTGATTTCTGTCCCGGGAAGCTCAGTTCGCTTCGATAAAAAGAATGATTCGGCTGCTGCTGCCTTGATAAAACGGCCACTTAGTTTCTACTCGAAACCCAAAATTTGCGCCGCCCGGCCGTTGATAAATTCTTTACACGGGAAATGGTAAAAATTGCAATCTGTGCTCCAAATCCGATGATCTGGCCATTTGGCCGCTTCTGGTTGATAAAACGGCCATTGCGGCCACTGGCTTGGCCAACGGCCTTGATAAAGCGGCCATTGTACCCAAAATTTGCGCCGCCCGGCCGTTGATAAATTCTTTACACGGGAAATGGTAAAAAATTGCAATCTGCGCTCCAAATCCGATGATCTGGCCACTTGGCCGCTTCTGGTTGATAAAACGGCCATTGCGGCCACTGGCTTGGCCAACGGCCTTGATAAAGCGGCCATTGTTGATAAAACGGCCATTGACGCTGGCCGGCCTTAATAAAACGGCAATCGGCCTTGATAAAAGGCTACTGCGGCTGGCCGGCCTTGCGAAAGATCGAATTCGCTTTGCCAGCTAAAAAGGGCTCGGCCTAGCCGCTGATAAACTCCTTACACGGGACCGTATGACATCGGCAATCCGCAGCCCGAATCTAAAAGATTTGGCAACGCCTGAATTACTTAGTCTTTGAGACAAGCATATGACTACTGGCAGGATCAACCAGGTTTCCTTTTCTTTCTTTTCGACATCTCAAATTTGGCACGCCCCGGCCGTTGATAAATTCTTTACACGCGAAATGGTAAAAATTGCAATCCGTGCTCCAAATCCAGAGATCTAGCCATTTGGCCGCTTCTGGTTGATAAAACGGCCATTGCGGCAACTGGCGCTGGCCGGCCTTAATAAAATGGCCATCGGCCTTGATAAAACGGCTACTGCGGCTGGTCGGCTTTGATAAAATTGCAATTAGGTTTCCGTTTGTTTCTTCTCGAAATCTCAAATTTGCGCACGGCCTCGCCGTTGATAAATTCTTTATACGGGAAATGATAAAAATTGCCATCCGTGCTCCAAATCCAGAGACTTGGCCACGCCTGACTTACTTTGTCTTTGAGACAAGCATATGATTACTGGCAGGATCAACCAGGTTTCCTTTTCTTTCTTCTTGAAGTCTCAAATTTGCGCACGGCCCGGCCGTTGATAAATTCTTTAGACGGGAAATTATAAAAATAGCCATCCGTGCTCCAAATCCAGAGACTTGGCCGCCAGCCTGACTCACTTAGTCTTTGAGACAAGCATATGACTACTGGCAGGATCAACCAGGTTTCCTTTTGTTTCTTCGCGAAATCTCAAATTTGTACATGGCCCGGCCGTTGATAAATTCTTTACACGGGAAATTGTAAAAATTGCAATCCGTGCTCCACATCCCAAGATTTGGCCGGCCGTTGATAAATTCTTTCTGCGGGAAATTGTAAAAATTGCTATCCCTGCTCCAAACCCAGAGATCTGCAACTTGGCCGGCAATTGCGGCCACTGGCCTGGTCCTTGGCGTTGATAAAGCGGCCACTGTTGGAAAAAACTGCAATCGAGGCTGGCGGCCTTGATAAAACGGCCATCGGCTTTGATAAAACGGCCCCTGCGTTTGGCCAGCCTGAATAAAACGGGAATTCGCGCCAGCCCTTGATACAAAAAAGGATCGCCGCGGCACAAACCCATAGGTTGCGCCAACCGCTTCCACAGAAAATTGTCGCCTTACAAGTGTACCAAGTTTCTTCAAATCGCCACGCAACACCGCCGTGTATAAGCGCGTAGGCACTTTTCTACCATGTTTGATCCGCAGCCCGATCACGGGCGGCGCCGCCCGCAATTGTCGCTTCTGCTAAAGCTGACGTTTTCTAAACTAGCCCAGCCCGTAGGAGAGCTTGTTCCCGGAAGGGAGACTGCGGCACAAACCCATAGGTGGCGCCAACCGCTTGGAAACGCCGCAGAAAATTGTCGCCTTACTTCTTGACACGCGCGCAACACCGCCGTGTGTACTAATCCGCAGCACGATCACGGGCGGCGCCGCCCGCAATTGTCGCTTCTGCTAAAGCTGATGTTTTCTACACTGGGCCAGCCCGTAGGAGAGCTTGTTCCCGTAAGGGAGACTGCGGCGCAAACCCATAGGTGGCGCCAGCCGCTTGGAAACGCCGCAGAAAATTGTCGCCTTTTAGCGCCCGGCCCGCGAGCGCCGCGCACGCCCACGGAAATGCTAAAACTAAGGCGCTCAAAAAATGATCTCTTCTAAGATAGCTCGACCCGCAATCCGCACAAGCCCACACCTGGGCCGCGGTGAGCCGCGCGCCCTAGGCCCGCAGCTTCTTTAGCGCACCTTCGGCGCACGGCGTCTCTCGCTGGCTCTCGCGAGCGGTGTTGCTTGTGTGTGTTCCCCCTAAGAAAGGGGGAAACTAAAGGGGGTCGATCGACCCTAAACCCGGTAAGGTTGAGGAATGGGTGGCCAGGGGTGGGTCAACCGCTTAACGCGTGGCGCGCGCCGCCCGCGACGCTCTGCGTCGAGGCGCGCGCCCCACCTTGCACAAACCCTAAACCCTAAACCCCAAACCCTAAATCTTCTCTTCACTGGAGACTTAAACCTTAATGGACTCTGCTATCGATTTGACGAACCCCCCTCAGGGGTCTTCTTCTTCTAGAAGAGGATTCTTTCTTTGGGGAAGGGAAAGGTCTTAGGAATTGCCTTGGCCCTGTCCTGTCAAGCTCAAAAGCTTGCTCCTGTCTTGTTCCAAATCCCGAACCTGGGCTTGGCTGATAAATTGTTCATAAACGCAATGTCAAAATTGACATCCAGGCTCAAAATGTAAAGATCTGGTCATTTGGTTCCTTTCTGGGCTTGGCCAGCCGCTGATATA